GGCAGGCAGTCCTACAGTCTTCCTCATATATGAACCTAAAGCAGGAGAAGCAGTACAGTTGAAGCTCAGTGGTCCTCACAGGGAGTGACGTTGACAGAGGGATGTTTCAACCTTGACATTTGCCTCCCTCTGGTGGCCTTTCTCAGCTGATACAAGGCCCACACAACCCACCACCATTAACTAATAATAATCAGCCTTCTGCATCACTATGCCTTCAGAGATTTACTGTTGTACTTCCATATAAAATCATGGTCCAATGAATGAACCATAGGCCCAAATGTAGTCCCTGGTATGTGTCAATGCTCCAGTCCACGCTGTAACCTATTTTCATTCATCCCTCACTGCCTGGTTGGCTGACCTTGTCTTTCAGTTGAGAGTTTGTAATTCAGCCTTTGTGTTATAAATGTATACAATTCCAAGCCGAGATCACCCTGATGACATCATGAAGCCCCTGACCATAGGTTCATGATGCAAGCTCAGATGAGTCCCTTTGGTTTTAGCAGCTGTTACTTTAACGCGTATTCATTCTCTATGAGATATTTGCTTCTAATAGATAGTATTCTTTATGTATTTTTTTGACTGCTTTCGAAAGAAGACCACCAGCTACAATGTACGCTAACGTCAGCTAGCTAACTGCATTCTCACCTACAGTATGTGCAACTTACTTCAGTGTGCCTGTGGAGTTGGAAAATGAGTTTTTAGACCCGGAAACCTCAGTGTTTTTTGGGAGGCACAGCAAGCACTTCATGTAACTGTTGTCTTTTTTAGATTTTGGTATAAAAATTGGCCAAGTGTAGCCAGGGTTTGGTGCTGGACACTGCCTCTTGTTCTGGGTTTTGCTCCACCATCAGCACATTGTGGAGCTTATTTTTCTTCCAGGCAGCTCCTCGGACACTGTCCGCCCCTTGTATTCACTCCCCGCATTTAGAGCAGAGTTGTAACGAAGGTATAAATGACAAAAAGCGGATTACTGGCTCAAAAATATACTCAAGTAGAGAGCAGTGACATTAGTGCTTGCTCCTTAAGACAACTTACTTTTTTACTTGTGCGTTACTTTCCATCTGTTACTAGTGTCAACTAGATATTAAATGTTCAATGCGAGCTGCTGCCTAAACTCCACTCTCTTCTGCCACCACCAGTGGTGCGGAACGACAGGATGAAGAAGAAGAAGGAGGAGAAGAGGCAGGGGGAGGCAGAGATCTATGTCCTGTCAGCAGACACGGAGCAGATGATCGAACGAGTTCGCCGGGCCCATCAGGACACATTTCCCTCCCTCTGTCAGCTGGGAAAATACACCACGGTACACACACGCTTATTTGAATCCAAAAATGCCCATTAAAATACTCTGAATAACTCACAACTAAAAGGAAAATGAACACACTATAAAGCTTTTTTCTTCAGCTTACTAGAAAAACCTCTCTTCTTTTCCTCACCTGACCCCCGCCCTGCAGAACAACAGCTCTGAGCACCGCGTCTCTCTGGACGTCAATCTGTGGGACAAGTTCAGTGAATTGTCCACTAAATGCATCATTAAGACAGTGGAATTTGCCAAGCAGCTGCCTGGCTTTACAACGTTAACCATCGCCGACCAGATCACACTGCTCAAAGCCGCCTGCCTCGACATACTGGTGAGTTTATCACTTTAGTCACACGCGAACACTCAACAGGTCCTCAGCAGAGACACAGAAAATGTACAGCAACAAGTTAGTGCATCAAAAACCTCAATCTTCTGTTCTTTTCTGCCACTTCATCCCCCTTTCCTAGATTCTAAGGATCTGCACCCGCTACACCCCGGACCAGGACACCATGACCTTCTCTGACGGTTTGACTCTGAACCGCACGCAGATGCACAATGCCGGGTTCGGACCTCTCACAGACCTCGTCTTCTCCTTCGCCGGCCAGTTGCTCCCACTAGAGATGGACGACGCTGAGACAGGATTACTTAGTGCCATCTGCCTGCTCTGTGGAGGTACTGCACTTGGTTTTAATGAAAGAAAGTCATTTAAAAATGTGTTTAATGTTACTGCTGTGATGGAACAACTGTTTAAGTCCTACAATCACATAGAGACGATGTGTATGGCTGTGTAGATTCCTGTTCTGTGTACTAACTGTTGTGAGTTGTGTTATAAATGTGTAATACAGCTTGTTGCATTGGCTGTGTATTAATGCGTGTGTGTGTGTGTGTGTGTGTGTGTGTGTGTGTGTGTGCAGACCGTCAGGATCTGGAGGAGTCAGACAAGGTGGATGTTCTTCAGGAGCCAATTGTTGAAGCCTTGAAGGTTTGATATCTAATTATTGTTGTAGCACTTGTACTATATTGTTACTTGCAGTTTATTGCCGTTATTCTATTCTCAGCAGGCCCAAACAAGAATCTTTAAAAACATATTACAAACATATGGTTTCATTTTTTAAATGAGCAGCTGGTCACTGTAGTTTCTAACAAACATTGCTCCAATATAAAAAGCATTACCAAATATATTAAATACATTCTCATCCATATCAACACATCCTCCATGTCTTTACGTGTGCATAGATCTATGTGAGGAGGAGGAGGCCTGATAAACCCTGTATGTTCCCCAAGATACTGATGAAGATTACTGACCTCAGGAGCATCAGCGTGAAGGGTGAGACACACACACACACACCACGACACATCCACAACATGTGATATGTCGCTTTTTATTTTTTTAACCATCGTCAAAATGTGTTTGTCTTTTGGTCATAGAGAGCCTAGCACATAGCATATCTGAGTGCAGAGAAGGAGGAAGTTGACTGAGGTTCTGAGTCAGAACAGTCAGCTGTTATTGGAGCACAGAGACGTGAGGGGTGGGAAGGGTCAGTTGCCAGTAGTAGCCAACACAAATAAAGGCCAGTTGCCAACAATGAAGGGATAGGTAGAATCTCTTTCCATGTCACAAAAACAGGAAGGAGGAAAGTTTTGAAAACATTTCAGTATTCACTTTATTGCATCATAGTTTCACTAAGTTTCTTTGACTACACTAGGCTTTTTTTTTATCCAACTATTTACAACACATCAAAGACGAGTACAGTGACAAACTCAATGTTGTTGGTCTATTGTCCAAAATAATCACACCTACTAAGAAAGTATGTTTCCAGTTGATACAAAGGGTACATTTAACCACCAATTACAGATAAGGAGTAACTCCAAAATAGATATTGTTGAAAATGAAAAACAAAACCAATACAAACAGGATATAAAACAATATAATAACAGGAATATACAAGTAGAGAAAGGTTAGCCATTCAAATTGTAGTGCGCAAAGCATGGTGCAAGTACAGAAAATGTCTTTTTAGTTCATTCCACAGTGAAGGGATTTAGCAAAACAACATTTATGTATCAAGTATTTTGTTATGATGATGATATTTTTAACCAACTGCTTGTTTTTCAAGATGACTCCTAACTGGATACATTTGTAGGAGAGTAAATCTGTATTTAGGGATTTGG